GGCGGATCAGGGGCTGAAGACGAATGGAACTGTTGACACTAGAACTGCCGACCGTTTGATATGGTTAATGTGTAATCCTTATAAGAATTGTATCAATAAACTTTTTTTCGGTTTCTTCATATATTCATTACAATATTCAAATGAGGACATTTATTTTTAAAGTCATTTCGAAGAGCCGCCATTTTTACAGGTGTGGTAGTTCTAGTGTTAAGTATTGTAGTTAATAGTGGTTGGAACTTTTGGATTTGAAATTGTTTCTCTTGTGCTTTAAGTTGATTTCGTGTGAAGATTAGCATTGTTAACTGTGTTGTAAGAGACTGGTTTCAATAGTTTAATGGTTCATGTTGATTAATGTTGAGTGTTGAATTGTTCAGATTGATAAACATGGATTATCATATATTTTTATGATATTTATCCAAAGCTGATTTTTATATAATAAAATTTGATCGAATGTTTTAAAGTTGCAACTTTACACCTATCTACTTACAACATCTGTAAAATCTCCATAATCTTAACGTGAACTTCTTCAATAGAAAATCAATACATTCTCTATTTCCAATTACAACTTTCTTATTTAGTCTACCTAATATATTAAAATAATACAAGTTCCAACACAAAGTGTAACAATCATAAAATCACACTTATATCAACAGTTACATAATTCCTTCAAAACTACAACGCGTTTATTCGACATATTAGAAGATTTATCCAAAACCGCTGAAAACTGAAATCACGGGAAAAAAAGAATACTAAGTGAATAGGGGTACAAAATTTCACGGAAAAGCGAGGTGCTAGCAGAACAGTTCCCCGCCGTTCGAACAAAGAAGCCAATTTAGTGGCTTCAGCTCGCAAACCTTTTCTGCGGGCCGGGCAACAACCTCAGCAGCCACTTCGGGGGTCGGTTTCGCGAACGTGGCTAAGCTAGGTGCCAAACGCGATGTACGCCGATGATCGTCTCTCGTGGATTCGAAAGACGACGGAAGAGGAACACGCGCGAACTCTTTACGAGCCTTCCTATCTATCCGGAATCTCGCGAGCCGACGAATTTGCAGTCGGACTGTGCGACCATTTTATGAACCCAGACGTTTCTGTGTTTGATCACACTGTTGGCTTCAGGTAGCTTTTAGTGGTTGAGGGAATTTGGCTGGGATTGCTTGACTGATTGGAAAATATATATTACCGTGAGGTGTTTGTGAGTTCGTATGTTTTCGGAGTTGATATTTGAGGTTAGGACTGTGGTTGTCAGGTGATGAGTTTTGCAATGGATGGGTTCTTGAGTTTAAGCAAGTTTCATTGTGAGGTGTTAAGGTTTGCTTAGGGTACGCAGTGTTTTGGAATGGGAAAGTGGGGATATTGGAATATTAGATAATTGTTAGATTAGGTCGTTGATTTTTATTATATTGACTGATGGCGAGATAAAATCGTCGAGTAACAAATTTGAAAGTTTATTTCGGAATATTTTGAAATGGGAAAAATATTGTATCAGTTACTGACGTTCTAGAATCACCAAATAACAAATTTAAAAAATCCCTTTGCATAAAATTGAAATACGTCAACTTCTAAATTACCAAACTTTCAACTTCAGATACCTATATCCCACCGTCTCAACTAAACACTCAATCAAAAGTAAAAGGAAAAATTTAATTCAGCTATAATAATCGACATAAAAGCAACTCTTATTACAAGAATATTACGATAACCTTTTCCATTTTCTTTTATCAATCACCTTACACTTTCAACCAAAACATCCACTCATGTCGAACAATATTCACGAATACAACCTGTAAGACAACTAATGAAAATTACCACGAGCTTCCCGTTCGAAGGTAACACGAGGATTCTCGAGTTCAGGAGTTCGAAAGCTAACAATTCCATTCCCTTACCCCGCGTTCCAACTTTTAAAAGCCGCGGGTCGAATCACGGTAAACTAAACGAGCGATCGATGCACCACCGTCGACAGTGGCTTGCGGATAGTTAGTCGAACTTGTTCCGGTGTCTCGATTGAATCGCGAATCGGTGTTGTGATTCTGTATGCCAGCGAGGGAAAAAAGTTCCTCGGATTTCGGGGCTCTGATTCGAGCTCAAGCTTCGCCGTCCCCTTTCTCTTCTACTCTCCAACTAATTGTCGACTGTCCTCGTCCTTTTATAACGGAGAAACTTCGTCCCTTCGATCCATCCCTTTACTTTCACTCTCTCTTCCACCGTTTTCCTAAAGTTTTCGAACCAACGGGATTACTTTAATGTTTGAATCAGGGGGTATTTTTGAATCTTCTACTGTGTGTCTTAGGTTGAGTTTCATGTTAACAAAGTCCAGGTGTTTTATTATTGTTTATTGAAATAGTATTAGTGTTTATAATATTAGTATTTACAATAATAGTAATTATTAAAATGCATAGTTGATAGAAATATTAAAATTGTAGGTGAGAATTTGAGAAATAATATTTTATATTTTTGTATCATTTATATCATTATATTAATATTTATATTACTGTATTAATAATTATATTCTAAACTTTATATGGTAATTCATGTCAAAAGGTGTAATTTTTCTTAGCTCTTCAAAGAAATTTTTATTTTTATAGCTTTTTAGGAAATGATAATTTTATCACATTATAAATGATTCTTTAATATTAATGGGTACGGTTTTTTCGAATATTCTAGAAGGAGAAATGCGTTATTAATATGTTTCGCGGCTGATGAAAAATTGATTCCGTTGATTAAAATTAATTTATTATTCTACCACGCTGGATACGGGTATTTTATAAATGCATAAGCTTCCGCGGTCGGATGCATCGCTCGCGGTCATTTTATTAATTAAAAAGTAACCATGATGTGACTTATTTTGACGTAGCAAAATTGCCGGGGACACCGTGCAAATGAAATATATGGGGGAATATGTATACTGTTGCAATCACGAATGTGTTAACTCATCAGGCAAAAATAACTGGAGAATGTAAAATAATATTTTCACTACAAGGGACTCCATTTTGAAGGAAAATCAACATGGAAAGCTTATTTGAGGCGCGCACGTTTCGTTTTATCTTTAAGTAGAAACTGTAAATAATGACCGGACACGTAAGCCCATAGTCTCATTCAACAACTTGCGCTCTCGTTTCAAATGTAAACTTATTCTCCTGGAACAGCTTCGGAGAACAAGGAAATTGTTTACAAAATTACCAAAACATTTTGTAATGACTAAATCAAAATAAAATTATGAAATTTTACATTCTTATAACTAGATATTTCTTAACAAATTTCATACTGTTATAACTAGTTATTTCTCAAAAAATGTCGAATTGTTATAACCAGATATTTCTTAAAAAATTGAGAATTTTAGGGAAAAAGAAATTTCACAAAAATCTCTCTTTACTAAAATAATTCAAACACCAATAATAATTGAATACTTAAAGTTTGACTATTTATAATTTCTTAGGAACAATTCTGCAATAGATTAAAAATAAATCAAATGAAAAAATAACCAACATTAGTTTCGAAGAACCATTCGGTTAGACAAATTTCTGATGGTTTCCGGCCTCACGGTGAAATCTTTTCTCTGCGGTCTCTTAATTGTCCAATAAGGGACGCGGGTGGGGGTCTTCCAGGACTGAGATCGGGACCGACGTTAGAGGTCCTGGCGCATTTGTCAGATTAAACGAGGAGTCGTGAAGGGTTCACGGAGCTAATCGTGTAACTCGCTCAAATGAGCTGCACTGTATTCGGAATGGCGCCAGCCGGCAGAAGCAGTCGCGGGGCTTTCCGAAGCCAAGCAATCGAGCTGTCCAATCGGACCTCCGCTCTGGCTTGGCGGTCTTAGACACCGAGCAATGTCGAAATTGTTCATTTATCTTGTTTGGTCAAATGTAACTAAACTTCAGCGAACGTTTTATTGTCACATTTCATTTAATATTCAGATGAAACAATAGAAATTCTAATTAGGAGTCGAAGAACAATTTCTCAAATTGAAATTATTAATATTATTATTGCATTGACAATGTTAATAATATAAAAATATTATATTATAGTTATCAATTATACTATAATAATAGTAATAATAATAATAATATTAACAATAATATTTCTCAAAATATTCCACTACCATTCTGAAAATGATTAATGTTATTAATATACTTATATATATATATATATATTATATAATATTTACTTACTTAGTTAATAATAACTATTATTATAATTTCTAACAAACACACAGTATTCCTCAAAACACTGCAATTCCAAAAATACAATCACCATATCTCAAAAGAAGGATGTCAGCCGATTAGATCTGAGAGTACCTCTACATTGGTACACGAAAAGTCGTCTGATTTCGAGCTGATAAAAGGATGGGAGGTATAATGGATAATGCGTGGAAGAAGGACGACGATAATAAGGAAGGATCTGTACGTCGTGGGTAGACCACGTTCGCGCGGAGATAAGATCAGGCGTGTCTGCGTTACCGAACGATTACTATTGCGGAATGGATGGAGCCGGTACACGCGATTACGTCCACGGAGGAGGAAGCACGAGCCTTGCGCCGGAATGCGGATGCCCGCGGTCACGTTTCGGATGAAACTTGGAGGAAAGGTCGCGCGAAAACCGCGACTCCTGCCCCGAACTCTTAATGAACATTGTAATTAGCATTTTTACGCTCGTTTGGAATTCTAGGCTAAATGCCCCTTCCCCTACCGGACCCGCGTTTCGAATTTCGATTGTTAGCGCTGGGTCCACGAAGTCATCGTTCATTCATCCTGTATGCATTGTTCGCGCGCGGTTTTTAATTTATGCGCAGCAGCCGATCGTAATAATTGATTAAATGTTTGAGCTACGGGGATATGAAGGTTGTAGCTGAATCAGAGCTGTTTGGACGAATTTATGGTAATGTGGCTGGTCAAGCAGGAAGTAGAAGATAGTTTAGAAAATAGAAAGTTTTATCTTTGTTCTATTAGTTTATTTGATATTTGACAAATCGAGTAAAGTATTAGTATAGTATATTATTACACGACTATAGTTGATCAAGTAGATGCTAGAATAGATTGTTCAGAAAACATTCAATCTTATTTTATCATCTTACATGATATTTAACAAATAAAGTATTCTACCTACTTATAACCAAACAAAATTCTCTCAAATCCCCATTTTCCAAGGCCATTTCTTCAAACCGAAATAACAGAAGCGCTGCAAAATTGCCCATAATGCAAATAACACAAAATCACCATTAACCTCTAAAACACCTAAAGATCCTCAATTCCTCTATACAAACCTCCACTTCATTCTCAACATCTCATCCCCAAAAGAACCGAAGCACGATTCAAGAATCAGGAACAAGAAAGCTCACCCAAGATCCCTGTTCAGTCGCATCATAATCGCGGAGGTTGCATTTTTATTCGCCACGGGGAGAACTGTCTCGACGCGGGCGGCGGGACCGGGCTATTCATATCCCCTCGCACGCGACAATCTCGGTTCAAGGAGAGAGACCGCTGGACAGGATATTGCTGACGTGTTCCCCGACTTTAAAGTCCAACGTCCGCGGTCGATAGCTGCCGCATTGTCGGGGACGGGCCGGTCTACCCTGGAAGAATGGCAGATAGGGCGAAAGGGAGGCGGTCGCCGGCCGCTGCAGGGCTTCAATCGGCTACCGGGGGCTGTTAAGCGAGCAGCTCGCGGCCAGACACCGGCACCCAGCCCCTGCGAATCGATCAGATTAGAGTAAACGCGCTCGATCCGGGCTAGACCGTTCGGTAGATCCTCTTTCCGGCGTTTCTTCTAGGCGCCACCGGACTTACCGGAACTTTGCTCGTTTGCTACCGGCTGCCACGACCCTGAGGAACATCCCAGCGAGTTGGACGAGGCTACTTCGGAAACTGTCCGAGAACTGCTCTTCTCTGGAGTCTGGAAACTCAATCGTTTCCGAACTGGTTGATTTTGCTAGGAAACGATCGCAACTTGTTGAACGATGGTGTAGTTTTGGGTTTGGGAGTTCGGTGTTGGTTTGTTGTCGGGTGGACTGGGGCTTCTTGGGGTTTCTTTGAAAATGGAAGGAGGGATTGGACAGTTGGATTCATGGAAGTGGTTCATGGGGTTTTGATGTTGAGTATTTCTTGAAATTTGGGCTTTTGATCGGTTGTCTGATCAGTCGATTAGTTGGAAAGTTAAATATTTCGACGTTTGATAATTGGTCATTTGGAAGTTCGATCATTTGGTAATTTGGTAACTTGGTCATTTGGTCATTTGATCATTTGATCATTTGATCACTTGTCTAGTTCAATATTTGGTCATTTGAATATTTGGTCATTTGGATATTTGGTCATTTGGATATTTGATCATTTGGATATTTGATCATTTGGATATTTGATCACTTCAATATTCGGTTATTCGAATATTTGATCATTTGGATGGTTGGTCATTCAAATATCTAGTCATTTGATAATTCGTATCATTTAATCATTCAAGATTATCAAAACAAAAGAAAGAAAAATTTACTTCGAACAAATTTCTTTATTTCCTTGAAGACAACTCCGACCACGGATTTTCTCGGACGAACGAAATGGTTCACGGGTTAGCAGGGGGTTCGCCGCGGAATTCCGCACGGGGCGAATCGAACGCGCATCACGGGTTGCATACGAGATAGTTGCACGCGATGCAAGAGAGACAGCCGAGCTGAGAGAGCCGGCAGTCTGCCGAGGGACGGATATTCCCATGGACTGAAAACAGAGATTGCTTTCGCGTGGTGGTTCTCCATCCTTTTCGCGAAGTACACGCGTTATCGCGTGTGCTTCTCGTTTTCTCTCTTTCTCTTTTACCATTTTCCATTCCATCTCTCTTACTGTCTCGTTTGCTCTCTCTATTTCTCCGCGAGCCGAACGAATCTTGACTGGAGATTCACTTAACGCGTTCCCATAACGCGACACGCTTCCGGAGAACCCTTTGCCAATGGAACACGATCAATGAAGGAGGAACGTGGCGGATTTCACGAATATGACGTTACGAATGAATATGTATGGGGTGTCAATGCAATAGGCGGTTTAACTTTCGTTCCACGTGACATTCATTTTATTCAATGAAAAACCTTCAAAAAAGTATTCCCTTTTTCACGAAAAACAAAAGTTCAATAGTTCTAGCACAATAAATAAAGTCTCCATGTTAACTTACAACAGACTTCCAATAACGAAATTTTTATACCCATTTCTTCATGAATTATCCATTAAACTTTATTTTCTTTCACTCAGGGTTTCCTTCGAGAAATTCTTCGACTAAAATTAAACTTCTATTTCCGTTCAAAAGTGCAGAGTCGATAGCACAGTCGAGGATAAAGATATTTTAACACATTGAGCGCCGGCCCCGTGAAAACGCGAGATTCTGAGTCTATCGCTTGAGCGCCGGCCCCGCAATAATACGGATTTCTGGATTTCCATTTCTGGATATGACGAATATGCAATTAAAATGTACTAATTTTACGAAAATGTATAATGTTTTGAATATTTTTTTGGCTACTCATTGATCAGATACAAGCAAATGAAGCCGGCGTTTGGGCTAAGTGGCCGATGCGTTGCCGGTGCTCAGGCTTTAAATGTCTCTTAAGTCGCCGGCGTTCAATGTGTTAAAATCATACGGAAGCTCGGAGGAGATGGGAACCACGAACGATTTTAATCTGAAACCAGTAGATCGCGAGAACTGACTGTTCTGTCTCCCTTCGTTGCACGGACTAATTGCATTCAACGGTATTGGGGCGAAAGAACGGAATTTTTCATTCCATTATGAAACCTGGACCTGCAAGTGTCCGCCATCAACCTTTGATTCTGTAACAACACGTAATATCCGAGCGGCGAACTCTCTCTTTCTCCCGTTTTGTTGATAATAACGGCGATTCCGCAGCCGGAAACTTCCGCGGTGAAATATACGCGGTGACTGCAACCGTGCTGCCGCAGTTGAACTTTTTCCCTACCCCCGATTATCCAGCGAACGCAAAGAGTTAATTGCGAAGCGCAGCCATCCCCGGTTAAGCGTAAAACAAAGTTAGTAATTGCGTTCTTGTTTCCGCTCCCATTAGGCCCTGTTCCGTTTCTTTAACGAATCCCGTTGCCCATCTACGTCTCGCGAACCCCTTTCTCTTTGGAACTTTACATCATTTTTTAAAAAATATTTCTTCTCGTGATAAGTATTGTTGGTTTTAGTATATTTATAATACACTGTTTGAACTAATTCAACTAATTTCTGAATGTAGTAAATAGTATGAACAGGGAGAGTAAATTTTTGTAGGTTAGGCGCAAGTGTTTTATGTGCGACACGAATTAGTTGAGCATACGTGCTAAACTGTTTCTTGTTAATTCTATCTGTGAATATCGAACAAATGTGAGAAAATTAAATGAAATCATCATATATTTATCCGTAACAGCAAAGAAACATAAAATAACAAAATTAACTTATTGCTGGTTGATGTGAGTGTATAGTTTTTCTGTATGTTGCAATTTTCTTTGGAACCAAGTTGATACCGAGTATAATAAATACAATACAACAAGGATATCACAAAAACATATCAACAAGGAAAGAACATACCCAGAAAAATGAATCTCGCCAACAATCCAGCCACGCAGAACCGGCATGCATCACAGTTTAACTCTGAGTGCACGAGCACTCGAGGCGGTCGCCGGTATCGATTATCAGATGAAAATAGGACACCAGCAGCGCGATTTACGGAGAGAGTTTCCGCTTAAGAAAGGAGCATAGTGCACGGACAGGTACCGTTTGATTGGGCGTATCGGGGCCCGGCATAGGTGGGTAACGATAACGGTTACCGTTATGGTCTATTCAGTGCCCTACCCGCGAAGCGTGTGTTCGCAGCGGACCCCGCGACAGGATCGTTATTGCACCGCCAGGAATTTCCTACCCGACGTATAGTTACGCCCGTCCTTCCATTTACGCGGCACGTTTTTTACGCGGTAAATTATAACACTATGTAGGGTAAATCGGAGGGAGATGGCCCACTCTTTTAAAGGAACTATTACGTTGTAAATATCATTCATGTCTAACAAAAAAACCATATTTATAAAACTAAATACATTTAAGAAATATAGTTACATAGGCATCCCTGTAAGATTCAATATACCACTAAAAACAAGTGAAAATATAGATATTTGACAATTTAAATGAGATCGGACCATTTCACCCGGAATTACCCTACTCGATATCAGTTTACGCGACCCGAATTTAGTGACATCGAATAAAATTTACTTTTGCTTTATGAAATGTCATTATTATTATTAGTTTTGTTAAGCTTTGTAAAATGAATATGCATTTCTGAAACTTATGCTAGTTTTTCTTTCCAATGTTTTGGTTTCTTTTGCACCGACAGATTCTATTTATGCGATTTTCATTTGCGTAAAACGAATCCACATGCAACGGATAGTCTGCAATGCACAGGTTACGATGCACAGGGCACGGGGACGCACGAAACCAAGGGAACATGCTTCGAGACCCGGGCCGGCCATTTTCCCCTAGTATCAGCCGAATATTCTTATTTACGATCGCAGCTACCGCCAATCGAATCGGACTGTTTAAACCGTCTATAACAGTGTTTCTCAATTTTTCTAGAATTATGGTCTACCTTGAAGATTCGGACAATTTTGGTGCACACATACAAATAGAGTGATAGAATGAAATTAGAGAAAGTTCAACATTGGTATTTGCAATTATAGCATTAATATTTTCTTTTTAAAATTCCAGAGTTGCGAAATTGATAATTTGACGCTGTTAAATATGAATTTTTGATAAAAATTACGAATATTGATGTTTTTCTACTTGCTTACTTTGTAATACTGAAATTGCTCGTCGGTGAGAAATATTTTGAGAAACACTGTCCTTCTATAGATACGTGTACAGATCTTCCTGACTTCTTTTTTTACGTTTCATCGTCGACGAACAACCGCCATCGTTGTCGAGCGGAAAGACTTTTACAGCGGGGTCTTACGACGACCCCGCTAAATGTGGAATTCGAGATGGGGATACGGGCTGTAATTCGAGGAATCGTCGATATACGAACGACACATGTTCTTAATGGAGGGATTTCGGGTATTGTGTTTCGATGATTGCCGCGATTTTTGGGGAACGCTAATCCGGGGTAGGTGGGCTCTTTGTAGTGATGGGTGTTGAAGATTGTTGGAATTGATAGGGATTATTTCAACTCTCAAATTTCTTTAGTCGTTCTGTTGAAAGTATCTCTTTAACTGGTATATACTGATTATTTTTCACTTTTTTAGAAAGTGTTAATCATCTTGAACGAAGGTACTGAAAGTACTGACAATAATTGCTGTGCGAGCATTCATTCAAATGTGAAAGTAATGTATTAATCAGTGCATACTATACACGCCGCATTAATTCGGGGCAATCGATAATTGTCTAAAGACAGATGAAGCTACATATTGTCAACGGAAATAGGACACGTTATCGGGAAATATCGGTTCCTATTCAGAGCGGAGTCGCTCGAATTTGGGACGGCCAAAATGGATTTCAAGTAATGAAGAATCACATCGAAAGAGGAACGATAAGATCCGTTTTCCCTTTTACACAATTCTTGCTCTCCAATACGGACGGAGAAAACGAGATTCAGACCGATCGATGGGAATGGTTTACTCTATACAGGCTGTTTCATAACTTGCGAGTGTAGATTCACGTGTCGAACAAACGTATGGAAGCATTTCATTCATTGAGCTGTTTATTTGAAATTTGGATATTCCTGTGTACTTCATTCGCCTTTGAATTTTCGTCACCATATGAAAGGACCTATATACGTGTCCTCGCCAGTATTTGCAAATGTTTATTGTAGGTCTGGAACGTTTTAAATTTATTGAAATTAAGATGACTCGCATATATCTAATTTAAGTTTCTGAAGTTCTATGTTATGAAATATAAATATATATGGTGTTTCATAGTAGGGAACTTTATATGTATTGCCACATATCTATTACTAGTACATAACCTACTATCATAGAAGAAAACCAAAATAAATTGAACTTTCTCATTTCTAATTTATTTCCAAAGTTTGACTACGTACATATTATGAAACACCCTGTAACAAATATTTACACACCCACACTCACCTACACGCCACAAGCTTCAAAATAAATAGGGAATATAATGATCATTCTCTATTCATCATGAATAATTCCAAAAATTTGGTCCACGAGTTATAAAGCGCCCTGTACATATTCTCGTCTTCATCCTGTATACGTGTGTTGCAAGTTTCCGAGGTTTCCATAGCGGAGATCCACCGGACCCTTCGGCACCTTCCAGGCGAATCACAATTTCACCTATAACCTCACGTGCCGTTTGAAGCGTATCCATGGGACCGGGCCGAGATAAGAATGCATCGACTTCGAGACATCGGAATGGGTCTGTCGGGTACAGGATCCTTTAGCGCCGGAAGGGAGGGGGAAAAACTACCCCTTTCAAATTTATTACACCTCTATAACGCTTGATTTAATTTCCCGCGCGGCTACTGACCGGTTAACCCGTTCGCTGCCAGGAAAATTAAGAACGTCTTGCCACAAGTGCCAAAAATTGATTACAAAGGAAAAATTATTCCTTTATTTATTAAAAATAATTAATTACTATTAAATTATTATTTTTTCTCTAAAACTGTTCGTAGAAAGTAGCAGTTGATCTGATATATCTCGTAGCTGGCAGCGAATGAGTTAAAAGCGATTCAGTTCGCGAAACGGTAATTATCTAGTCTTATTGTAACACTAGTGATTCATCTTGTGACCTTGCTTAGCCCATGATAAGATGCCTAATGATAAGATACAATGATGATCGTTAAATTAATTCATTGGAATTGTTGCTGTCTTGGTTCTTCTTGGATTAAAATGCATCTGTTGATTTGATCGTGAGTTACTAAATGAAGTTATTGCCAATTAAAGTTTATTGTGATCACCTCAAATTCAATTGTGAATCATTAATAATTAACGATTAATCGATTATTAGATGTGAATCATCGTCAATAATATATAATTAAATTAAATTGTCTAAATTTACTTCTTGCACCATTTAATCGCCGCGAACACTTCATTTGTGGTTCTCGGTAAACAAGTACCTAATCTCGTCAGGGTCAAATGTTAACAAAACCAACGCGATAGCGGTCTGAAAATATAAATTTTATAAATTCTCGGAAATTAAAGTTCCATTTGTTCCATTTAATCCAACAATATATGAATCATATTGTGAATTTATCGAAATTTCGAAAACACGTAGTGCCACATGATAGACGGCTGAACTATATCACAGAATAATTATCAAAGTAACAATGAGTTCAAATGAAAATATAATTTCTTCGTATATTCTTACACAATAATATATTAAAATCATTATGCATCAACATTCTTTATTGTCTCAATTTCTTAACAAATACCAGATCCACTAATTAACATTAGGTTATAGGAGAGGTCGACAGCAGTAAGTTACAACCTGTCACGGATTAGTGACAAGCTGTTGCCCGTCTTTCTAAGCCATCCTTTTATTATGTCATACAACAATGGTTTATATTCCACGAGTGTAATGTCCGGTTTCATTTTCACGCTTCTTACGTTACGACGTAACGCGATACGTTATGGGGGGAAGGTGGCCGGTCGCTTACGGCACGACATCCGCGTACATACAGGTATGCGCGCGGTGAAACACGAGAGCCGGCGTTGGTGTCCATTAAAAGTGTTGAAACGCGTGCGGATGAATCGTAGCTTCTTCGGTTGTTCCACCGTCGATCGACACTTTCACCCGAAAACATTGGTATCCTCTCGTTACTGTCAAGGATAACGAAGTACCTCGAAGAACGATAGAGAGTTATTAACGTACACACGTATCTGTACTTAGTCTTAAGCACGTTATTATATGTGCTACAGAGTGCTTATCATAAGCGTGTTATAAAGACACGTTGTATAATGGGTTGTAGGAATCATTGTAGCCTGTGTTATTGGGTAACATGATATTAAATGATGTAGGAACGTATAGTAATGTTGCTACGAAGGAACGTAGTAATACGTGTTATAGATAAATATCTAGAGCACTTGCTATGGAAACATGTACTACCAAATGGTCTCTAAAACTTAAAGTTTGTATCACTGTAGAACCTAGTATCATCTAAAAAAATACATTTTTGGAATCAACTACTTTCAAAGTTAAAATACAAACACATATAACTATGTGCCAGAAGCTCACCAAACATTACAGCTACAAATGTACCTTTTCTTAGCAATGACCAAGAACCATTCGAATAGCAGTAAATATCACGGTCAAGAGGTTACTGATAAAAATAAATCTGACAGAAAGTATATCGATTGAAATAAAGAAAAAAGAACAAATTAACAACTCAAGTGGAACATTTGTTTATACATTCAACAAAGAAGATCTTAACAAAAAAGATCAGAAGGACCCAAAGGCGTCGGATAAGGGAATTGAAAAACATTAGCAATCAGACCTCAAAGTCGGTTGGCTAGCGGATGCCAAAATTTCCCGCGGGAATTTCAAACGTTTATAACGGCGCGTGGCTCGCAGATCCATAACCGTGAGAGCAGAAGTGTGTTCCACGAGCGGATGTTCTGGCGGATCGACTTCAACGTCCTGGCACGGTCAAG